CCACCTCAGGTGTACATGGCTGGCGCCTTAGCCAGTTGAGCTATAGGCGCCGAGCCTAAAGTTATTATCTTACAGTGCAATTAAGTCAGAAGTCCAGCACAGGACTTACTAGGAGATCAAGGTGTTGGTATGGCTGTATTCCTTTCTGGAGGCTCTAGGGAAGAATCCATTTCTTTGGCTTTTCCAGCTTCTTGAAACCACCCACATTCTTGGCATGTGCTTCCCCCTCCACTTCACCTTCAAAGCCAGCTATAACAGGCTGAGTCCTCAGACAGACATCTTTCTGGTTCTCAGCAGTAAGGAAAGATCTCTGATTTTAAGGGCTCATGTGATTACATTGGACCCTTGGGAGTAATCCAGAATAATCTCCACCATTTTAAGGGCTAGAATCTTAATTGCATCTGCAAAGTCTCTTTTGCCATGTAAAGTAACGTACTTATAGGTTTCATGGAAAAAAAACAGTATTGTCTAATGTTAAATCAGTGGTAGATCATGATTTTTTGCTTTCTTTTGAGAGTATCTCACGCTGTTTCTACAGTACTTGCCTCAGTGCAGGCAAGGGGATTACTGTGGTGGATTGTTACATTGATGGCCCCCAGTGAATCACTGCCCCTCGTGTCCATGTTCTTTTCTAGTCTCCTCTGGAAATGACTCCAGGCTTGACCATGTGACTTGCATTGGCCAACAGGATATCAGCAAACATGTCTCAAGGGGGCTCTTGATAAGTGCGTACTCATTGGTCTCTATGTGGCAGTATATGAAGAAGCCTGGTCTAGCCTCTCTAAGGATGGAAGACCACAGGAAGAGGGGCCTTGCTGTCTCAGCTGAGCGTACCCTCTAGCTGAACCTCTAGATCAGTGGTGCTCAACCTGTGGGTCAGGACCCCTTTGTAATAATGAAAATACATCCTACATATCAGATATTTACATTACGATTCATCACAGTAGCAAAATTATAGTTATGAAGTAGCAACAAAGATAGTTTTATGGTTGGGGGTCACCACAACATAAGGAACTGTATTAAAGGGTCGCAGCATTAGGAGGCATTAGGAAGGTTGAGAACCACTGCTCTAGATGAATGTAGCTGGATGAAGGATCCCAGGTGAAACCACTAACCAGCCAACCTACATAACCTTGAGAAATTGTTGTTTTAAGCCACCATATATATGCTGGAGTGGTTTGTTATTCGTCAGTAGATAACAAAGGCACTCTTAATATATTTTTGTGGCCCTTTTGTTTCCTTATGTGCTATCTTTATTTTTAAATAACACATGATTCCTGATATCTTATTTCCCCTCTAAAATACATTTAATTATTACCTCTTGAACCATTAAGCAGCAAAGACATGGTGAAGAAATTTATTTAGTGTAATTAATTGTGTAATCAACCTATTTTCCCCTGTAGGCATTTAAAGAGAATGAAATTGTATTTTAAAGTGAGTTCTGTCAGCTTTGAACTTTTCTTTCTTTCTTTCTCTTTCTTTCTTTCCCTCCCTCCCTCCCTCCCTCCCTCCCTCCCTCTTTCTTTCTTTCTTTCTTTCTTTCTTTCTTTCTTTCTTT